CCCGACTAATCTGGAGCCAACGACTGCGACTGAAAGATGTTTTAAACTATTTTTTGTCCACATTTGTTCACATTTCGTCCAACTGGTGCCTCCGTTGTGCTCTGCTCCCGGCGCTCCACGTTTTAGGCAAAACTCCCACTAAAGAGTTCAGTTATTAGATATAAAACATAAATATGAGCAGGATTGTTCACTCTGCTTTACAACATCACATGTCTGAGGGATTTTCCGTTGCCTTTAAAGATGTTTTTTACTGGAGTTGATCCAAACGTAAAACCCAGATGATGATAAATGAAAGAAAACGACAGAAGAGACTAAAGTAGAAAAGAGTTGTTTTTTTTTAAATCACAGAAATGTGCAGAACCAGAGACTAATTAGACATGAAACATAGACACCAGCAGGTTTCTTCTGTCTTATTTTTAATAACATGATGGAAATGACATGCTTGGTGCTCCTGTAAGCAGATCCATTCATGTTCATAGACGTTTTAGATCCACCAGGACCAGGAGCAGAACCGGGCCGGGCCGTGGACGCCTCCTTCCTGGAGTGGAGGCGAGCTGCTCACCTTTAGCAGGTGTCAGCGGCTCAAATCATTTTCTTACTTTGTTAATTTGTGAAGCTCTGACTTTTCCGGGCCGCGGCGCCTCTCGCTGTTTTCTGCCGGCGTCTCGTCTTCCTCCCGAGATTTCTGCAGCGCGCTGACCTTTGTGTCGGAGATGTTTTCCTCCGTGTGCGGTTATCTGCTGGCGTTGTCGAACAGGGAAAACAAATCACCCGCTGTACTTCTCATTAGCAGCAGTTTTGTGTCAGCGCTCGGAGATCAGCTGTCAGCGCTCGGCCTTCTTCTGCAGCTTCACCTTTTACCGGCGATAATTACACCGTTTAACGGCGGCCCGCGGACCCGCCGCCGCCTCCAGTGAGACGCCGGAGCACAAAGTTTGAATGCAAAGAGGCGCCGGAGGCAGGTGGTGGCGAGAATAACGCCGAGCTCTGCTGCAAGCATCCGTCATCCTGGACACGTGTCGAGGCGTTAGAGAGCCGCTCTGGACACGTTTATGTTGTGTTGAACGAGTCTCAAGTCTTATTGGACGATTTTAAACAGTTCTGGACAAATTCAGAGTCATTTTAGACGATTATATAACCAATGAGGACACGTTTTGGTCTTTTTGGACACATTTCAAGTCGTTATAGACGATTGTGTGGCCAACTTAGACACGTTTATGTTGTCTGGAAGAAGTTTCAAGTCATGTTGGACAATTTTATAGTAATTCTAATCTGTTATAGAGCCAATGTGGACACATTAATGTGTTTTGGACACGTTCCAAATCATTTTAGATGATTTTAGAGCCACGTTTGAAAACGTTTTGTCATTTTAGACACATTTCAAGTCATTAAAGTCCATTTTAGGGCCAAT